GTGTGAGGCATGTCATACTCCTTGCTTGGCCAGCTGCTGTCCATACAATCGTGTCAGGTCCCACTACCAGTGAGAGTGTATACAGTGCATTGTGTACTACCAAGAGTACATAACCCCCCCCCCCCCCCAGAGTGTGCAACCGGGATGGGGTTGTGGGACGGCGTAATCCGTGATGTACGTCATTTTTTGGGTCGGACTTGCCTCATTCCATCGCGGCGGTGCACCACGTCCACACTCCCCCTACTTATGATGTCATTATTAAGACGTGCAACACGGGTTTCGCCGTCCCAGATCTGATAAGTGAACTTGCGCACTCTGGGGGGTTATATACTCTTGGTACTACTAAGTCACTGGAGACAAAAGCTGCTCTCCACAAATGCATGCAAACACATGTACATGCGCTCGCACACACACACACACACACACACACACATATATAGCAGACTCAGCGGAGGACGTTCAGGTTGGTTGTAACACACACATATACATATATTATATACACACATACACACACACACATACACACACATACACACACACACACACACACACATACACACACACACACACACACACACATACACACACACACACACACAAGTACAGTCGTCCTGGTCCTGGTAAACACTGCCATTACGGTCACGTGTCCCCTTACGGGGCCGACAATATAGAACGACGAGCGGGACCATGTTCGAGAGAGCCATCTCCAGCAGCTATGGATCTGGCTTATCATCGGAAACGATTCCTCTCAGTACAGTCGTACACACACACACACACACACATGTCTGGAGAAGCGGTCAGCCTTTGGCCAATAGCTGGTAACAACTACCCAGGCCCTTACCGGTTGCAAATCACACGGACGTTTGCTCGCGGACGAGAAGTTGAGACGCAGGAAGTACTGGAAGGGGAAGAACAGACGCGGCATGCTGAGTGATCAATGATCAGTAACAACTTACTAACCAGCCATGCTCCCTTTCATCCAGGCTACCACTTAGCACAAACTACTCACGATCAGCAATGTTCTGGCGGTGGCTGTATTTTATGATAATAATTCTGTGGGCACATAAGCCTGGTTTTAGTGTGGACACACATAGAAATACCCGGTTTGAATAGAAGCCTACATGTAGCCCTTTTGCCGGCTTCTACAGGAATAAGCCCGGCTTTAATATGTGACATTACGGGTACATGTACCGTAAAGTACCGCCAGAGCGCCCCACCATCTCGTACTTTCGTGGTCGTCTTGTGGAGGTGGTTTCCTGTTTGTAGGTCATACGATACGGACTTTGTACACACATTCCACGTTTTGCAATCAATCCGTACCCAGTTTACCTTGGAGCGGATGCGAGCTAGCTAGCCAGCCCCACATAAAACATGCGAGTGTGACCTTAGTACAAAAAGTTTCTCACACCGTACAAACTTAGTAGCATTCTGCCATACGATTTTCTTCCCTTGCCTGTAAAATCAAGGTCAGGCACTCTCGCGAGGTGGGCCATTCTGGCGGTACTCTACGGTGCATGTATCAGCTATTCAGCTTTTGGCTAAACTAGAACCCCTGTGGAGATCTCTGGATCCGCCCCTAAAACTACATTTTATCATACGAGCCTTACCTCCACAAGCAGTGTGAGACTGAAAAAGACAGGGCCGGCGAGGGCCATGTAGACAACCTCCTTGCCCACACCGGGCTCATCCCAGTCGAACACGTCCGATCGCACTCTTCTGGCGTAGTAGCAGGCTTCCCTGCTCTGCAAGCGAGCGCCAGTTGTCACAGTGCTGGCCCTACAGCAGAACACCGCATACACAGAGAGTCTCTGAGTGTGCCTGTCACCATGGCTACTGAGCTAGCTAGCTAGCCATGAGACAGAGCACAATGCCTACAAGTAGCTGACTTTTAACTATCAGCAGGAATTTCTCACATTTTCCATGTGCATGGATGCGGATTTCGTGGGACTTCCAAGTAGGCATACCTGTCCAGTTAGAGGTTCAAATCGTCAGATTTGTCATACTGCTAGCTACTGAGCCTAGCCATGGCACACACCACAGATAACCAGAGTGCGTACTTGTCATACTGCTAGCCGTGGGACGGAACCAGCGCACACCATTAACACAGCACTTTGTCTTCGTGAGATATTCCCAGTTGCATGTACCCCCACATTCAGACTTTTAGCTTTTTGATTCCATTGTGGGATTTCCAAATGAAGGCATAGGAGTATACAGATTAGGTGAATCGATATAAACACACTGCATGGATGAAAGGTTTGATGCGTGTAGTTCTCTGGGCACCGAGTCCAAAGATGCGGCTCCCAAAGCGGTTGGAGGCGAGTAGATCAGACTCACCACAAAGTAGTCAGAGACCAAAAAACAGTTGCCCGAATACAGCCATTATTATCGCAACAAAATCATGCAGCAAATATCTTACAGGAGTTCTGCCATGGTAGGTAGCTGGTCACACACAGCCCGCGTCTCATAGTTCTGGAAGATATCCGTCAGTCCCTGCGACAGACTATGTAGATAGCGGCAGATCAGGCACAACACACATACGCACACACACACACACACACACACACACACACACACACACACACACACACATACACACACACACACACACACACACAAACACACACACACACATGCACATGCACATGCACACAATTAATGTCAAGTTATAGATTTGCATCACGAATATATGACTTGTACAGAATCCACCGAGAGTGTGCAACTCCTGTGCTTTTCAGGCGCAAGTGATTGTAGGGAATGGTAACATTTCTCTTCAAGTCGTGGTATCTTTACTACTACGTAGTACAACATTGCTTGCTAACAGTTAGGATTTCGGGACCTGCACACCATTGAGTCTTTAAGATGCACCTTACAACTACAGACTGGGTGTATAGCATGCCCCAGTCACACTTGCACGCTACTGTGAATTTGAAAGTCGCTCTCGCTGCCTGTAATATTACATCATTCTTACCTGCAGTGAGGCAGTGAGGCGAAGGCTAGTGGTTCACCGGTTCCCTCGCAAACCCACACTTGCATCAGACACAACCATTGGAAGCATCGAACTATTTAGAAGACTGTATTACCAAACATGTTCTCAAAACACCATTGAAGAATCTAACTCAAAAAAGAACAAAGAACGGAGAGCTGGGGACGCACGTACCCGGCCCCGTACCGGACACACAGCCAAGAAGGACGACACCGTAGCGTCCCCACGCTTGACTGGCAAAGAAAACAGCAAGCAAAGAAAATCGGCCAGCGGGCGCAGTTCAAACATCTTGAACGACACGCTCAAAGCAAAACACGTGACAGAAAATAATGCATGATGTCATCTGTACTCACGCGGACATGCAAAAAGGTCAAATCTACACAAAAGCGAGTGCCGCAAGAAACAACACAAATAAATAATAATTCAAACAGCGAAGAACTAGAAAGGCAGATTTCTAATTATCGAAGAACAAGAATGTATCGTAGAGTCCCAGCGCAACTGCCGGAGGATGCTGGCACCCACCAGACGGGTGGTGGTTGCCCCTGCCAGAGAGATAGAACGAAAACTGAAGCAGAGGAGCCACGTTACAAATAGTGAAACGCACGAGGTAAGAATAATCGAGCAGTGTCCAATTACGACATACTGAGTAATATACATGTTAAACGAAGACAAACACTAACAAATGGAGAACGTTCCAACATTTCCCCTCTCACGAACGACTCCAGACTAATCGGAAGTCGTGAGATCATCATACTGACCGGTACCTTCATCGATGGGTTCAACTTCCAACGGCACCAACTGCGTTATCGGCCGCTTGGACTGCTTGGCGCCAATTCTGATGTTCACTACACGGACCAACCCATCAGATCCGGGGAACACTTCTATCACTTTGGCTAGCGGCCAACGCCCTCTTGGAGTAGACTTGTCCATGCAGAGGACAATGTCACCGGGCTTGATGTTGCGGCTGCGTCGAGACCATCGCTGAAGCACATTCAGCCGAGGCACTATTTCTCGAAGCCATCGCCGCCATACCTCACGTAGGAGCTGTTGGAGGAGCCGCCAACGACGCTGTGGGTGCAACTCAGCGACTTCTTCGAGTGGCAGAGTCAGCTCGCACTGTCCAGCTAGGAAGTGCATCGGTGTTAGCGGTGCGGCGTCATCCACGTCAGTCCGGACAGCGGTCAACGGACGCGAGTTGAGCAGGCCTTCCGCACTCACCATGGCAGTTACAAGTTCCTCATCAGTGAGATTGGCCTGGGACAGAGTTGCCATCATTGCGCGCTTTGCTGCCTTGACCACACACTCAAATACGCTGCCAAAGTGCGGAGCGAGAGGCGGATTGAAGCGCCAGTGAACTCCTTGGCTGGCCATACTTGCGGCCACTTCATCAGAACCTAGCGCTTGAACGGCTTCTCTTAGCTCGCGCTCTGCACCGACAAAGTTCGTCCCGTTGTCTGACACGACCTCAGCTGGCACGCCTCTGCGCTTGCAGAAACGGGTGAATGCTAGCAGAAACGACTCGGTGTCCAGGCCATACGCCATCTCGAAATGACAGGCTCGAGATTGCAAACAAGAGAAGACACAGAGGTACCTCTTGAGCTGGGTCTTGCCACGTCCTTGTTTTGTTCGGAACGGACCGGCATAGTCAACTCCCACTCTTGAAAATGCCCGGTACGGTGGAGCTGTTCGGAATAGCGGGAGCGGTGCTATCTGCTGCGAAGCCACAGTGGCCCACTTCTTCTTGCAGAGCACGCAGTGTGCACGGTGAGATCGTGTGACAACCTTGCCACGGATGATCCAAAACCGCAGCATCAGGTTTGCCAAGAGGTGGTTTGGGCCAACGCTGTGATCACACTTGCGATCTTCGGCGTCGACTATCAGCTGAGTAATCCGATGGTGCTGTGGCAAGATTATCGGATGCCGGGTATGCTCAGGCAAGTGGCTGGCAGTCTTCAGACGACCTCCAACGCGTAGCACACACGGGTAATCCTTGTCGAGCACTGGATTCAGCCGTAGCAGCGGGTCATTCGCTGCAAGGGACTTCCCTGACGTCAGCTGCCGATACGAAGCGGGATAGCTCTCTGCTTGTGCGATCGCATACCAGTGACATTCGGCACGCTGGAGCTCATCAGACTTCAGCTCCACAGAGTCGACTGCTGCACTCGCTGCTTCCGGATCCCCTCTCGTGCTAGCATGACGTCGACGACACCGGTTGATGAAACGGTAGCACCAGGCCGTCACTCTTACTAGTCGTTTCCATGACGAGTAGTTGTCGGGGTGGAGACGAAACACCTCCGCTGACACTTGCTGCACAGCGAACGCCATCACTTGCGCTCGCTTTACCATTCCAGGCAACTCTTTTGGCACGGTTATCTGACGAGACGGCCACTCAGTGTGCTGCTGGACGAGGAACTCAGGGCCGTTCCACCATACTGAATCACTGGCTAGCTGGGCTGCTGTCAAGCCTCTGGTGCCCTTGTCGGCTGGGTTCAGCTTTCCAGGAACGTGGTTCCACTGGCTGCCAGCTGAATACTCTTGTACTTCAGCTATCCGGTTGCCCACGTCGACTTTAAACTTTCTGGAATGTGCTCTCACCCAGTGAAGCACGTTCATCGAGTCGGACCAGTAGGTGGCATCAGCCTGCGGCAGATCTAGCGCGTCATTCACTGTCTTGGCCAGGCAAACACCAAGCACAGCACCCTTCAGCTCCAGCTTCGGGATCGACATCTTCTTAATGGGACATGGACGCGCCTTGGCGAGTGCTAGCGTCACTCGCACATTGCCGTCTGGGTACTCAGCACGGACGTACACGTTAGCGGCGTAGGCGGCATCTGAAGCATCCGTGAACACGTGCAGCGACAATGTAGCGACAGACGACTCGCGACCCGGACACTTGAAGCAGCGCGGCGCACGGATCAGCGCCAGATCTCCCAGCTCGCTAAACCAGGATGTCCATCTCCGCGTGTGCTCAGCGTCCAGTGGATCATCCCAGCCCACGCCGAGGATGCACAGCTCCTGGAACATGACACGAGAGCGAATCGTGAAGGGAGCTAGTTGTCCGCGTGGGTCGAATATAGATGCCATCTTACTCAGCACGGCTCGCTTGGTCAGCTTCTCTGTTGCGGGCGGCTTGAACTCAAAGGCGAAGGTATCATCCTCTGCCGACCACATCACGCCTAGCATCTTGACTGATGGTAGCGCACAGTGATCATGATCATTGATGCTAGCTACGAGTTGCGGTGAGCGGTCAGCTTCCGGTACGCCGTCCATCACCTCCGAGCTATTGCTGAGCCACTTGCGGAGGTGGAAGCTGCCCTGCTCAAGGATGTCCTGTACTGTCTGCTGTGTGCGGATGGCTTCCGGTACGGAGACAGCAGAGTGCAGCAGATCATCCACATACATGTCTCGGTCAACGATCTGCAACATGGCTGGGTCATACTTGTCGGCTGTCTCGCGGCACACCACTTGTAGCGCCTTGCATGCCAGGTACGGAGACGCCTTGATGCCGAACACCAACCTCTGGAACTCGTATACGCGTGAGTCCCACACAAAGCGATGATATCGGCGGTCTTGCTCAGCCAGCACGACTTGCAGGAACATCTCGGTAATGTCCGCCGTGAGCGCTACTGGCTCCTTGCAGAACCGCAGAAGCACTTTCACTAGGTCATTCTGCAGAGCGGGTCCAGGGTACATACACTCATTGATCGACGTGCCGTCATACTTAGCAGCAGCATCAAAGACGACACGTACCTTCGTGGTGGCCTTGTCGTCTCGTACAATGGCGAAGTGCGGCAGGAACCACTGGTCGTCGCCATCTGCCTCAACCTCTGCTGCCGACACTGCGCGCACATAGCCTTTGTCAATGTGGCTACGGATGACCTTGCCGTATGCTGCCTTCAGCTCTGGACGCTTGTCCAGCGATTTTTCTAGCATGCGCAGGCGATGGTCCGCCATGGCGCGATTAGCGGTGACACCAGGCTCGGAGTTGCTGTGGACCCATGGGATTGCCATGGTGACTCGCTGATCATGGAAGCTGATGGATTTCTCAACGATCTCCTCAGCCAGCTTCTCTGCAGGGGTGATGTAGGTGCCTTCGTGCTTCATACCGACTGCCTCCAGATTCCAGAAATTCTGGACCAGGCTGTCTATGCTGCATTCGCCGTATAAAGCATGCACGAAGTTGACAGACAACTCGTCATCACTGGGTGCACTGGGCGTTGGGCCCATACACACCCATCCCAGTGGCGTCTTGCGGGCAATTGGTCCACCACTGCTGCTTCTGTACTCCGCGAGTGATGCGTGGGCATCAATGACGTCTAGACCAATCAGGAGGTCGACCGTGGTGCTGGAGATTTCGGGAAAGTCTATGAACTGCAGATGTTCATAGCTGGACTTGTACCGGCTCCAGTCGACGACCTGCGTCTTCTTGGTCACACGATCATATACCCATGCCTTGAGCGGGTATGACACTGTTCCATCAATGGATTCCATCTGCACCTTGACCAGTTCCCGATAGC